AATTGAATGATTAAAATAAAAAACAAACAATTTATAAGACTCATGATCTCTGTGGGTGTCCATGAAGCAAACGTGGAGCTCAGCCTTTGTCAGTATAGTTGTCTTTTGTTGTCTATCAGCCAGTTAAAATTTCTGAAATCCCAAACATCATTTATGACCAAGCCAGCCAGGTCGGACTTGTGGCTGAGCGTCAATAAACTCGGCTGTGTTCGGGCTCTGTAGACTCAAATGTGAGCCATACCTGTCTGCCAGGTTTGGCCCGTTTTCAGACTTATTTGACCCGAGAATCAGCTCCTGTTAACGATGGGAAGCTTTGGGTCAGTGAAATTGAAAATAAAATTTTGTAAATGGTCAAATAGTTAATATGAGAACAAACATGGCCACTGATCAATATGTGTCCCTCTGTCTCATCTTAGTGTCTATGGCTGTCCACTGGCCCAGAGAGAGTGCTAGAAAAACCCGGCCCCTGGAGCCAGCTGCCAAGAGGAGGCCCTTCCTCGCCTCCTGTCCAGGTGAGGAGGAGGAGGAGGAGGAAGGCGCTCGCACCTATACCAGCTATGAGAATGAAGCCATAGGGATGGGGGATGTGGGGAAGGAGCAAGGAGAGGTAGTGGAGGAGGATGAGGAGGAAGAGGAAGGGGAAAGAGAAGTAGATGAGGAAGAAGACGGCGAAGTGGAGGATGAGTTCTCAGAGGACAATGAGGAGCAGGGAGAGGAGGAGGAAGAGGAAGAAGAGGAGGAGGTGGAGGTGGACCGAGCAGATACCACAATAGGAGGACAGCAGGTGGAGGAGGAGGAGGGGATAGACGAGGAGGAGGAAGAAGTGGATGATGGTGATGAGGAGGAGGACCAGGAGGATGAGGGAGAGGAAGACGAGCAAGAAGAGGAGGAGGAGGAAGAGGAGGTGCAGAATCATCAGCCGGGTGAGTTTGCTCTTTTTGTTTAAAGCAGCAAAATCTGATGATGTGATTTCTGCATTTCCATTCTATTCTATATATTTCTTGTGTTTTCTATCAAACTGTACCTGTGACAAAATCTTACAAAAACAATTCAAACAGGTATTTTTTAATCTGCTACCTGTATCGTTAAGGTTTGTTTACATGTTCTGGTTCCACCTTCTTTAATGTGAGGAGCTGATGCTTTTTTTTTGTCAGTCATGAGAATCAGCTGAGTCTCTGTGGATCTGTTGGTTGGACACAACAAGACGTGTGGAGACGCCACCTTTGGCTCTGGAGAGTCACAGTGGGACTTTTAACCAGTGTCTGACATTCTGGGAAAAAAATATCAAATAACTGGCAAATTAATCAGTGACCCCTGGAGTAAAAAAAGAAATTCCACCCATTTCTTTAGGATTTTCCCCTAATTTGTCACACACAGCACTCGTACGTATTTTCCCCAGCCTTAGTCCTGCTCTTGTTAAGTGGTCTTTTTTTTGTTCAGGCACACACATCAAACAGAAGAGGATTTTTCTTGCTGTCAGGTTGTCATCATGTCTTCTAACACATGTGTGGAACATATCTGTGCATGCAGACCCCCGTCTGTATTATGTATAGAAGTGCATGTGTGTCCGATTGAAGTATGATCAAGGCTTTAGTTAGGGTTCAGTCAAGTAAACAGCTGGAAACTGGTAATAAACAGCAGTCTCCCCTGCCTGACTCCGACTCTTGACTAATCCACCCTCTCCACCCTCCTTTCTCTGTGGTTTTTGTGGCTCCACAACAAAGTCACACAATTTACTCATTTGCAGGAGTGATAATTAAAGCTGCTAGAGGATGTTGTCACTTGTCATTATTGCTGGAAAATGAGGTTTGGAGTAAGTGGCTTACTGTATGGATGCCAGAAAGCTACAGCATTAACAGACAGATGAGCCCAACAATGTTACAGATTCTGTGTCTGGAAAAGGCACATATTCATCTTTGGTTGCTGCTTGCATCTGCAGTGGGAGAGGAGTAAGTGATGAGAGCTGCTGAACAGAATCACCGGTGGACCAGATGCTCTGCACTCTCCTTCCCGCCACGTTCCCCTTGATTCCCCTCAGCACCCCCCGTGGCCTCAATCGCTCCTGACAGCGCTTCACTAATAATCGGGAGAGGAGCTCTGCTGAGTTATTAACTCCCACCTTACCCTCCCCTCCCCATTCGCCTCGTTGTCTCGGTGGACGTGTCAGATGCGCTCTGCCTCGGCTTCTCCTCCTGAGGATATTTATGGCTCCTGAATCAGAGCACCTCACACTCCTCCCTTTTCAGTTTCTCTGCTCTCATTCACCATCAATGTCCCCAAAATCAACAGCGAGGCCTAGCGGGGAGAGCTGCGCTGCTCTGCACAGCTCTGGGTTGTGTGTTTCCGTCTGTAAACAGTGGATCGTAATTGAGAGGGATGCAGTTAATGTGTTCAGGAATATATAAGAAGAAACTGGGTTCATCAGCGGCGCTGAGTTGATTAAAGGCCATAAAAACTTTGTTTCCTTTTTTTGATTCAATAAATGAACAGATAGTTAAACTATCTACAAAATGCATCATATTTGACCAATGACCTACTGTTTGTTTATTGTGCAAAATACTGAGGGAAACTGTGCTGATTTGTAAAAACTGGCTGGATGCGAGATGTTTTTTTTTTTAAATACCCAAACACTGAAAGACTGAGAAGTTTGTTTTTTCTTTCCTGTCAGTAGAGAACCACTATAAACCCAGTGGACAATCAAAGCTCATTCCAATTCAGAAGGACGACGACAACAACAACAACAACAACAGCTGCAGTGCTGGAAACGGCACCGGAGAGGAGTACGAGAACTACGACGAGCTGGTCGCCAAGTCGCTGCTCAACCTGGGCAAGATCGCCGAGGACGCTGCCTACCAGGCCATGACCGAGTCAGAGATGAACAGTAACTCGTCCAGCAGCGCTGGTGAAGATGAAGATGATGAAGAGGATGATGGTAGTGAACAGGGCGACAGGAAGGGAGAACTGAGCGTGGACCTGGACAGTGATGTTGTCAGGGAGACGGTGGACTCCCTGAAGCTCCTTGCACAGGGCCACGGTGCCATGCTGCCTGAGGACGGCTACCCAGAAGGCACCATGGTGGACAACGTAGGCCACGCTAACGGACGGCCCGGCATAGGAGTCAGGGTTCAGGCAGAGGAGAGTGAGGAGGAGGTATGTCTCAGCAGTTTGGAGTGTCTAAGGAACCAGTGCTTCGATCTGGCTCAGAAACTAAGCGAGACACAGCCGTCTGATCGCCCTGCCCTCCACGGCCTCCACCACCAACTCCAAAACCCTACGGACCAGCAGCTGGCTCACCACCTGAACAGGTGCGACCTCTCTTACGACTCTTCTGTCTTTCATCTCTTCCACACTTATTTTTAAGCCAAATATGTGTCTTATTAAAAATTCTGTAGGTCAGATTATGGCACTGATTAAACATCACAGCATTAATTTTTTATCATTTGTATTTGAGGCCCAAAAGTTCAGATTTAGAAATCTTCTGTCTGCACACAGCACAGTTAGAAAGCACTGTCCAGGGCAAAAGGAAAGTTAAAACCTGCAGAAGCTGGAAGAAAAATGGCTGATCATTTTTTGTTCAGGGAGATGGAAGGAGGGACAGTTAGGCTTAATTTGGAGAAACACTGGCACTGAGTGAGAGAACCACTAGGAGTGATGGAAGATGAGGACATGCTGTATAGATATTGGAGATACAGATAACCATATTTCTAGCAACAGTCGCTGAATAATGTTGATCAGGAACTGTTAATTTTGTGGAACAACAGGTAAAGCACAGCTCAAATAAACCTATGTGTTGGATTATGACCAGCAATCTGTTAGCGGAAAAGACCTTACAGAAGATGTTGGGTAGCCTGTTTGTACACAAATGTAAAATAACCGGACACATCCATTATTTTACCAGGCATGAGAGCAGATTTGGATATTTGGTAACAACTTGATGACCCCACATCACCATGCGGTTTCAGCTTTTACTGCTTATCTGACTTCCATCCCAGGTACGACAGCTGCCAGCAGGGTGCACCAGAGGAGCCCAGGTCCCTGGAGCGCAGCTACTCCGACATGGTGAATCTGATGAAGCTGGAGGAGCAGCTGAGCCCGGCATCCAGAGGCTACCCAACCAGCTGCAGCCAAGAGGGCGACGAGGACACCACATCAGTGGCCTCCGACCATTCAGACGAGACCTTCGACATGGCCAAGGGAAACCTGTCGCTTCTGGAGAAGGCCATCGCCCTGGAATCAGAAAGAGCCAAGGTCATGAGAGACCGGATGGCCTCAGAGCACATGGTGCCCCGCCGAGATCACCATCTTCATCGCAGCCACGGCGAGCACAGCCCGAGGCTGAGCAGCGCTGCAGAGGATCGCAAGTCCAGGATGCACCATGATGGACTGAAGAGGGCGTACTACCCTAAAGGTAGGCAACAAAAGCCCACACCCTGACCCTCACTGGGTCATTACTGATCTGTGTTCAGCAGCAGATTTAAGCTTCACACTTCCCTCTGTTTGTTGAAATTAAAATTGCTGGAAGATTTGTCGAATCAAATGTTGTCTCCTGAGCAGCAGCTCAGTCTGTCTCAGTTTTTGGGTGTGGAAGTTGTAATATTTCAGTTTCCTTTGGTGACTGTTTTGAGCTCTGGTTATTAGTGGAACACACTGTGAAATAATTGTGTTTGTATATATAAATTAGAGATGCACCGATCAAACGGCAGAGATTGGGCATGGCCGGTTTTCAGCGTGATCAGCCTTGACCAGTGATTGGCTGATCACTCTGAGAGTTACAATTCTGTGCAGATTTAGAAGAAATTGCAATCAGTGCATCTCTAATATAAATATTTAATCCTAAATGATGCTTTTTCATGAGGGATTTGGTTGCAATGTTTATTTACCCACACGGTCCCATGCACGCTTCACCTCACACCAGGACTATATTTACTTCAGCTGCTGGAGTTAATGCAGCTGTAAAAGTTCTAGTATAATGTAGAGAACGTTTGCAGAGAAAATCGAACTTTTGGATGATAAAAACCTAACAAACACTGTTGGTTTGCTACAACAAATATTCCTAAAAATATTTATTGTTTGAACTATATTCACAGAGTCGTCATCTGATCATGTTTCCTCTCCAAATTCTGCCAATTGCACATCACCTCTTCGCATTGCATTTGACCTGAAGCAGCTGTTACTCCAGTAATCTGACCCCAGGTCAACAGGGAGGAAGTTTATTGTGCCTGCCTGACTTGTTGTAACCCTCAGCACTTCTGCAGCCTGAGGCTATCAGTGCTGTAGCAAGAAAAAAAAAACATAACTGTAACTTAAATGTCTGTCTTTTTCCTCCCTGAGTCGAACATTTCATTGCACATTGTTGGCTTGACTGAGTTTTCTGACCTCTGGGCTCTTAAAACCTGTTAAAACCCCACTGTCTTATTTCAGAAATGATATACACGGCCGCCAGAGAGATAATGGGCACTCATTTTCTACATTCAGGACCAACACAGGTTTTTTTTACAGAGGCATAGTTTTCTTCTGACAGCAGCTTATGTTGTTAAAATAGGCCGTTGTGGGAACATCAGACGGCCGACTTGTCAGGCATGAGTAATGGCAATCTGCATGGCCCGTTAGGAGAGCAAATCTCATCTGTGGGACGTTATCTGCGGCCTATTTCTCTAAATCCACTCAAATACAACCCCGCCGCCAGGAGGGAGTCAGCGCTGTGCAGTTATCAGCCTCACAACAGACTCAGATGGACTCAGGCCGCTTCATTAGCACAGAGGATGCTTTTGTTAGCAGGTTTTTATTAGTCCACAGGAAGGCTTTCATTATGATCTGTCTGATTCTGAGCAAGGACCCAGGTGATGCTAACTGAAACAGACGCTCAGCCCCAATTGTAATGAATTTGTACTCCTAAATCATAGCCTGCCATTTTGTTTCACTTCATTCAGCCTGATGTTATCTTCATATTAGCTGACTATTTTGTTTTGCTTTGCCTGAACCCATGTTATTTTCATACACAAACACTGTGATTGTTAGGAGCGGTTCTTCGTGATGATCAAAGAGATACAGATGGTTCAGTGGGTAGAGCAGTCGTCTCCCAACCGGAGGGTTAGAGGCTCCAATCACGGTGCCTGCAGTGTACATGTTGAAGTGTCCTTGGGAAAGACACTGAACCCCCCCGTTACCCCCGATGGTTAGAGCCATCGGTGTGAGTTGGTGCCACAGATGGCACCAACTCTGTACCAGAAACAAATTCCTTGTGTGTAACATACTTGGCCAAATAAAGGTGATTAAGTATAAGGCCCTGATCAGTGTTATAGTAGTATATCACTGGATCTTTGTTATTGTTTTAATATATAAGAGGTACTCAGTGGTGTAGGTACTCAAAGTGGAGCTAATTTTTATTATTTCATACAGTTGGACACGTTGAGCCACTAGGGTAACATAACTGCCCCACCCCCATCCCAAATATATGTACATACTCCAACACACATACACACACAACTGCTCCAGACAGTTGCATGGAGATGCTTATCATGTGAGGCCCATCCTGAAAACCAGGTTGTGCTCAGCACCAGACAATGGCTAATTGAGGCTAATCAGCAGCCTGCCCTGGACTCTAGCCACCACAGCTATCAAACATCCGAAATATTCAGCCAGTCTTCACTAACAAATCAGCATCTTACACTGTGTGTCGATAAGCATAGAACAAAGAGCCATCAAGAAAAACACAGCAACTCATTATAGGTTTAAACAGTATGAGAACAGAATTCAACATTCATATTGGCACCAGTGGCCAAAATGGCACCACAGACACAGATTACAGTAGCATTTTCCAACATACTGTAGATTTAAATCCCTGATCCTACTCCACAAGGAGAAGCCTGTACTCACCCATTAGAAGTTCATCCTACAGGCCTTGCACTCAGCAAGTCATTCATAATGCTGCTCAAAT